GTAAAGTAAAGCTTCACCTAGCCAATAAAATTTACTGTGTTTCACATCTATATTTTCTTCCAATGCTACTTACTTCATCTAATTATACACTTTATCTGACATTTCATGGATCAATAATTGCATTTAATTTATCTTCCTCAAAGGATATTTTATGAATAAAATTAGTGACAACAACATTCAGTTATTAATAATAATAGATACATAATCAACAGTACTAATAATTTCCAATTTAATTTCTCACAAAAAAAAAAAAAACTACACAAAATACACAAAAAATTGGAACCAATCAACATTTTGTCCCATAAAATGTATTCATATATGTAATTATAATAAGAGAAAATACATTAAAGATGCATCAAACAAGCACATTAATATTTTGCAACCCCTTTAAGTCTATAATTACACTCAAACATCATTAACATGGAACTGACAAGCTTGGCTGTGAACTTACTGGGAATATTATTCCACTCTTCTTATAGTGTTGATTTTAATCATCTCTGTTCAATACGTGGTCGTTTTCTTCAAACAATAATCCCACATATGCTCAATGGGGTTGATGTCAGGACTTTGCGGTGACGTTTCAACGTAATAGGAGTTAAACACGAAATGGGTGAGAGAGAGATCAATCTTAGACATTTTTATAGTGACGTTTGGTTTTATATGTTTGTAAAATTTGATTGTCTTTTTAATTTGTTAATTTTTTAAACTTTAATTTAAAACAGTAACCTGAACAGGAACTGGAAAATAGTTACCAACACAAAATGCATTGGTAAAGGCAATAAAGATAGTTAATTAATTAATAGTCTTGATCTCTGTTTGATGCAGATTTGATACATGATAAAGGTCAGTGATTCAATTATTCTAAAGCTATTAGAAAGCTTTAGAATAATTGGGGTATTGTACAATCAGTGCTGGCCCGAGGCAAGTTATAGGATGGAGCGAGATCCTATTATGGCGCACCCCTTGGTTGCCCTTAATTTATACCCTTTAATTTTCTTTACTACTGAGGCACCCCCTAGGACTTAGCGCTTGGAGCGGCTGCTCCATTCGCACTATAGTAGGGCCGGCTCTGTGTACAATAATCACATTTGTGTTCCAAGCCGCATGCTTTGGATCATTGTACTGCATGAAAATGTAACTGTTGGAAAGTCCCATCTGAACTCTAATGAGAAAATTTTCCTTCAATATGTCAAAGTAAGTGTACTAATCCATTATGCTATGGACAAAGTGTATAGAACCCACTCCTGCTGCATTCATACACTATCAAACAAGCATTGATCATCCTCTGTGGGAAAAGGAGAAATGTTTTCTTTCTTCACTTCTGTATTTGGTTTATGCCACACCACCAGACAGTTTCTATCCTAGAATTTGTTTTGTCTTTTCTCACCATCACATTTGCATCACAGTGACTTAAAATTGGAGAATGCCCTTCTCTCATTTATTGTAAAGTCTGTCGCTGAGTAACTGTTTACGACATATCGAACGGTTGAATGGAATCTGTTCAAGATATTGTCAATTTTTCTGAATGATTTCATTCATTCTTCAGGTTATAGTTATTTGTCACTACTCTTCTTTTACTTTGCAGCCCATCTTGTTTACGAATATCTTCCTATGACATAACAAATTATGACAACTTGATAGTGTCATCTGTGGTCGACCAGGCATATTCTTCTAGCCATAAATGATACAGTATTTGATATAATATATTTGCAAACAGAGAAGTTACAAAGACTATCTGAGGGGGTGGCAAATACCTCATTCAGACTTCAATCTTAACATGCTTTCTTATTAATAACCTATCAAATAACTCGGTTTATAAAAATAAAATATAAATTTCAAAATAAACAACTAAATATTATCAACTTATCATCGAATACAATCAAAATTTACTAAAATCAATCACTTAGAATTTAAAATAAATAAAGAATTCATTAAAATTACTAACTTCGGAGGGCGCCGCCATATTTGAATTAACACGTGTACTCTCCGAACGTTGCCAACTCATCGAAAACAATAAAAATAAAATAAACTATAAAATCATTATTTACGAGAAAATATTACAAATTATGCATTTAAAATTTATTACAATATAATATATAATAATATTTTAATGTGCGATTAAATTTTATTTATACGTCTTTATTTTTATGATATTTCTTTTAACGTTACATATCGAAACGGTTAGAATCGATTCCGGTTTTCATCTTTACAAAAGAATTTATACATTTTTAATCTGTTAAAACAGTTTTTTACAGCATTTTATTACATTGTGGTCATTCTACTATGCGACATTACACGGTATTTTGCGAAATATAACTTGAAACGCGAGGGCATTTATCACCGGTTGAGCGGCATACACTATTAAAAAAAATAAATAATAAAACTATTATTAAAACATCGATTTGATGTAAAATAAAATAAAAAATTCTAAATTGTTAGTATATAGTTTTATATATTCTAACTGTATATCTATTATAAACTTGTTAACGTTCGCGACTATTCAAAAACCGATTCTTTATCTTCAAATCCTTGCCAATTTTCACAATATAAATGTTATAATTATATTTATTTCCTCTTACATCCCTTATAGGACGTAGGCCTCGTGAAAAATATACATTCAATGAACCATAAAATATGTGTTTACCCATTTTGAGCCTCATCGACATCCTAAAGCATTGTCTATAACTGTCACACGGACATATATTTTTGCGAAATGTTCAATTGCATCATTTTCGTATTAAAAAAAAATAATAATAATAACCTGCTAAACCGCTTAAAATTTAAAAATAAAGAATATTAAATATATTCTATACTAAAAAATAACTTGCAAATAGCAAGGTTAATGAGTCAATTAAACACAGGTTTAAGTTATGTAATTCTTTTTACGAAATCGGGGTCAAGAACGAGTTGCAAAGAATAAGATAATAAATGTAAGTCTTTACTATAATTCCGCAGTTTAAAGGAACGTAAAACCAATCAAATTTTCTAAATTTCGAAGAGTTATATTTAAAAACAAAGACAAGTAAGTATTATGAAAATCACTTATATAGAATTTCAATCATTTTGCATTAGAAAAGCATTGAATAGCTACTATACTAAGAAAACGACTCATGAGTGACCAATGAGAGAAAAGTCTAGACCGTGTTATTGAATTAACTAGGTTTACTTAAACCTTTCGACGAAATCGGGGTCAAGATGGAAGGTCAATATTTAAGCGTTATACAAAATTTAAATGAGAAAAATACAAGATTTGTTAACAGTTTCGTGTATTAAAGCGATGAAAATCGATCAAATTCGTTAAATTTTTAAGACTCCTTACTTAAAGAGAGAAGCGAGTTGTAGAAAAATTACTTCCACGGAATACCAATCACACTGCACACTCCAATTGATGAAAATAAAACGCAAGAACGAAATGTATTTTTTTCTCTGCAGGATGTTTTACCTCAGTAATTAAACTCTGTATTGAATGGTAAAGGGTGTGCCACGGAAGAGTCAGTGGCCCGGGTTGGCGATTCGCTGAAGCGTCACAGCTACGACACCCACATCTTTCATGTGTGACATACACACACACATAAGCGGCATAAAACAGAAATAAATATACATCATATCAACTCTTTCTGTCAGATTCATGCGATCTATCAACTGAAGGATTTAAGTTTGGAATGAATACTCTCAATTAAAGAATATTTATTTGTTTGGACATTGCAGGTTTGTAAATTATTCAATAGAACTTTCTATTATTAGTTATTTCAATTTATTTTTATTTAGAAAGTAAGAAATATAAAATAGTAAAGTTAATTATATGAAATATACATTTATACATCACTTTGAAGAATTTCTTTTATATTCTTCTATAAAAATGATCCATTTGTTTATATACTTCTTATTCATTTTTAAATATTCCTTTAAAAATTATAGCGATTAAATCGGATTGTAGCATGATTTTTTCTATAACTTTCTCTGTTGCCATGTTTTTCAACACTAAACATTCCCTTTTTACACTATTGCTTCCTATCACACATGAAAATTTTAACAATAATGTAATCACAATTAACAACAGTTTTACATTGATTCTTATTAAATCATAGTATTAACAAATATCTAATTATTCTGATAATTTCTCAAAATAATTGCATTTCAAAATATATTTTTTTTCGTCTTATAATTATAGCAATGATAATATATAATTAATTTCTTTCTAAAGATACCAGTCGACCCCCCTATAACACTGTTGCTTATTCCGTTTTATATGAATTCCATGTTGTGCGAGTCACTTAGATTTTACAAATACGTGTGCCGGGCTGTGAACGGCTGACGTATTTGTAAAATCTAAGTGAATCGCACAACATGGAATTCATATAAAACGGAATAATCAACAGTGTTATAGGGGTCGACTGTATTAATTATACTGTATATCCTACTGCATTATGCTGTAAATGATTAATTAACTACCAAATGCATTAACGCTATTGTTATATTCGAGACCAAAATTTATCATCAGATTGGGCCTTAAAGTATAACATATAACAGGCCCTTCCTCTTCACCAAATATAATGGTACATGAAAGAATGTGAGGCTGTAAGCTATGGACTCATAATACAAGGCTCTAAACTGGCAGTTCACTTTATTAGGATTAAATCATTCATACTAAATATCGACCTATTAATTCGGAACAAAATGCCAAAAAACAATTGGGAATAAATTATTTGCCATTGATCAAAAATAGGTCGCGACCACACAAAGAATGCATTTGATACCCATAATATTGCAAATTGTTTCTGTGGGTGACTATGACAATGAACAAAACGAATTAGGACGAAACGAATCACAATTATCACGGAACATTCCAGTAAAATATCCTATTTTTTTATTTATTTTTTAAATGCTATTTCTATTAAGCAATTTAAATGACAATATGGCTGACCTAATGACGAAAAACAAGAACCTTCAACTAACTTTTTAAAATAGTTATATGTTGCAAAGGAATTATTATAAATTTCGCCGAAACTATATTAGATTAGTCGATTATTATTATTATTATTATATAGGATTTATTTATATTAACCGGGTTAAATTTCGAAATTTATTTTTCTTTAACTTCCTTTAGTGTTATAATTCCAGAAAATTGCATGCCTTAAATACATAATCAAGGATTATCCTTGTTGTTAATAGAAAAATGCCCTAAAAAATCTCTAGAGGAGGGAAGTTTGATTTTATGTTAGATCCTCCGGTGATGTTAATAAAGTCTTTCCTTTTAATTAACACAGTTTTTTGCCGTTACCAGAAATAAATTACAAATATTAACAAGATACAGTAAAACCTGTGTAAGCCGGAATCTCACGATATCGAATATTTTTTTTTTTCCTTTTTATTCAGGTTTTACCGTACTTACAATTTATATATTTAATGCCTTATGAATATTTTACATATGTTCCATTACAATCACTAGCATACTTAGGGGGGTGTCTGGGTGTTGGAAACACCAGACTTTAGGAATAGAATACTACTGTATTTTTTAGATCATCCTCCAGAGCAAAATACTAGTTGTGCTATTGATTTATATAATTACTTAATTCTTCAATATTCCTCTACAATTCTTCTCTATAGCTTCAGCAATAAAAAAAAATATATAAACTAGAAAGTAGTGTCTTACATAAGAATTAAAATATGAAGCTTTGTATCCATTGAACTTTTTTTTTTGCATATTTTCATTTATACAATGGCATAATTGCATGAACAATGAAGTCCTTTCACGATTCACGAACGTTTCCGATCAAATCAGATTTATATCTTTATTATATTAAGATATTTATTGAAGTATAAAGATTTCCTTTATCTGTGGTTCCGCTAACACAATGACCTCTCGTCATGTGACCCATTTCTTTTTTGGTGGAGCCAATGCCGACAACCAATCGGCCATATCCTATCTTCTTAACTTCTTCATTTATCGATCGATAACTATTATCTCGTTAGATGAAGAAGATTCAAGTACGTTCTCAGAACCCCATATAAAAAGGTATGTTTTTGAATTTTTCAAAGCAATCTTCCACGAATAATCGATCAAGTTTTAAGTTAAAAAAAAAAATATTGATTCTCCTCTCTTGTAATATTTAATTATAATTAAATATTTTAATATATTTTATTTTATATCTTTTAATGATAGGATGAAGACGACACATATATTACTTTCGACCGTTATTTTAATGTCTTTGATGGTAACTGATGGACAAGTGGTGTCATTTACCATGCGAAAACTAGCATTTTCCATAAATCAATTTGGTTTCGATCTTTATCGAGCCATGGACTTTCCTAACAACATGGATGCTGCGGTGTGCCCGTTTGGTGTTAGCTTGCTCTTGGCTACCATGCTCCTAGGTGCGAGAGGAAATACTGAAGTGGCACTACGTCAAGCTCTATACTTATGGGGAATGAGATCCCACGAGACTCATGCAGCCTTCAGAGATTTACTCATTCACCTAAGAGAAAATCTTCACGCTATAACTGGTGAAAAGAAAGATGATCCCCAATCTCTAGCAAATAATTCTTTGATATTTTTCCATAGTTTGTACGTCCAGCGCGATTTTAGCATACATTATCCTTATCTGATGTACTTACAACGACTCTACAACACGACCTTACATCCGATCGACTTCATACTCAATGGACCAGAGACTAAGGAGCATATAAATGCCATTGTGGAGAAGCAGACTAATGGTAAAATAAAAGATATCTTATTAGCAACTCCTCCACACAGCACTAGTTTATTGGTTCTGAGCGCTTTGTACTTCAGAGGAATTTTTGATCCGGCTGTTTTCAGAGAAACCAACAGATCGAGAGATTACGTGGGATCTCGTGCCATCTTCTCTTCTAGGGCTGATATGAAAAAAACTAAAGTGAGATACGGAAAATACGACTATCTCGGTTGTGTTGCAGTGGAGATACCATTCAGGGGAGGTGATATGTCGTTTTTAGCATTAGTTCCAGAAACTGCCGGTGGACTCGGTCTTCTAGAAAGTCGAATTAGTGCCCAGCGACTCAATGATATCCTCAATACTTTAGAGGCTCAACAGATTAATCTAAAGGTAAATTATTCTTTTACAATTTTAAAAATAGCCTTAAAAAAAAGGAAGTTAAAATTACACCCTATTATATTGTCCTATTGTATCTATTTAAGGATCCTTGATGAACTATTTTTGATAAATTCGTTTTCAAAAGATTATAGATATTATTGGAGTTATACATTGTAAACGAATGTTTTAGAGCTGATAGCGTAATTACAATTGCAAAACCAAGGTCTAGTACCTATTTTGGGAAGGGGGAGAGAACTTGTATACTTCCTATATAAAAAAAAAAAAAATTACTATCGCTAAATTCCGGTATGTTTTGTTTTCCTTCCTGTTTCGTGATCATAAAACTTTCCTATAGAAAAGAATATAATATAATCGAAAGGGGGAATTTTGAAATTATTCCATGTAAAAAATGAACTTTTAACATTTGTGTTTCAGGTACCACGTATCGTCATTGAACAAAATCATCAGAACTTGACAAAAGCCCTATTGGATGCTGGACTGACAGACCTCTTTATGCCAGGATATGCTAATTTATATGGAATCAGTGATTTTCCTTGGTTGCATATATCAAACATCATTCACAAGATTAACATAGAGATCCATCAGATTGATTACAGATCATCCAGACAATCAAACGATCTTCCAACTGTTCAATTTAAGCATCCTTTTCTCTTCTTCGTGCTTGACAACGTCAGTGGATTAGCAATTGTCATGGGAAAAATCGCAAAATCTCTTGGTTAGAACGGTGTTTTCCTTTATAAAAAAATTTATTGAATCCTACAATAAAATAAAAATATCCATTAAATATTTCTTTTATTAGACAATTTTCGTGGGCTACAAAAATAGCTTTTTATTTTGTATAAAGTGGAAAATAAAATGGCATTTACAATTAATATTTGTTATATTTATTTAAGGCACTTTATACTCATCTAATGTAACAATAGCAAACATGTTCAATAATTAAAAAAAAAAATTATTTTATACTAGAAAATTCATTTTGATTGATAAAATGTGCATCATGTACAACAGAGATATTAATTCAAATACAAATTCATTACGAAATAGTAAGAACAAAAACTGATCATGTCGGATGATAAAAAAAAAAAAACTTATAAAAACTGCAAAAAACAATTTCATATTTACAAATCTCCATGTTTAGGAACAATTTTACCTTCTGAGGAAAATTGTAAATAAGATAATTAATACCAAATTCATAGAAAGTTACTTACAAAAGTATACAAGCATAGGATCCGCTTTTTTTTTTTCTTCACTTAAATATTAAACTGACTACTTGACAATTATTATAACCCAAGCAATTTTACAAAATCAAGATATTAAATATAATGAGTGAAAGCATTTAGAAATAATACAAATTAAATAAATAAATTTTCATTGGTAATCGACTAAACTACAATATCTAACTTTCTTCCTTCTCGTTTCTGTACGTGTATATGTATATATAAAGTACTTGTAAAAACATTAAATTCATTTTTATCGAAGCAATTCAACTGTACGCGATGTACTCGTCAATAGTCTGATACATGTTATAAACAGTAAAAATTGTAATTAAAATACAAAAATGTTAAACGCGATACCGTGTTCCGTAATTTCTCGCTTAAATAACAAATTTGTTTGACTGAATCTCGTCGCATTAATTTTTAAACTCTTCTTTTTAAATTAAGTATTTTAAAATATTTTAATCATATTATTTTTAAATTAAAAAAAGAAAAAAAAAATTTAAAAACAACGCGATAAATAAATAAATATTTATTCACAAAAGAAGGATTTAATTTTAAATTATTTTAAGCATAAAAAACGAGTTACTTAAATAATTAACAATATACTTTGTTAATTATATTGAATATATATTTAAATGCTTTCAATCATTATAATTTTTCTAAAAGTTATTCCAGTATATCGACGTCGTCGTCGTCGTTTTGCGACAGCCTGCTAAGCGAGAGAACTTCTTCCTGTAGAAACAGGCCGCTTCTTCTCTCTTTCAAGAGTTGCCGGTACTCTTTCTTCTGACGGATTTTCAATGCTTTCATTTGATTACGTCTTTCTTTTGACTATTAAGAAATAACAATACACCGTATAAGTGACGAGAATAAAAATTTTTAAAAGTTTTATTATTTGGTAAACGGTAAATCTACCTTTGTAGATTTCATTTTTCCTAGTAGAGAATTAGAACTACAAACGGAGTTCAAGCTTGATTTTGATGAAGAGCTGCCCTTGAACTTATTTCTGCTAGAATTATTTTCTGTATTTGATCTATTTAGTGTCTGGCTCTGAACGTAATCTTTAATGCGCTGTAATTTTATTTCGTCAAGATATTTTAGATCTGAAAGAAAAATAAAAACAAATTTTAATCAAAAGTAATAATTTACTAACTATTTTTAACAAATTTTTAAATTTATGAATAATTATCATCATAAAATTATTTTTTTTTTTGCATTGTAACTCAATAGATAAATATTCCTAATAAAATATATAATACAATTTTCAAATCGGAAGAAAATATGTAATCACAGAAGAGAGGAACATTTTCATAATAAACGGTTTTATTTTATTTAACCGACAAAATATTATCTTTATTTACAAATTTTACATAATCAATCTTGCCTACTTGTTATCATTTTATAATATTCCGTCTTATTTATAAAGATCAAAATAAAAGGATTTTTCACAAATAACTAATTTTCATATGAAAAAATAATTGATTTTCTACTTTAGTACACAAACCAATTATGAAAGAAATTCACAAGTTAACAAGTGTTACTATTTATATATATATATATATATTACTATTTGGAATGTAAATTAAATTTCTTATATATTCTTACTTCTTAATTGATTAAAATCTTTAATATCACATTCAAACTATATATTTCATGAGATATACAGTGGGTGATTGGTTAATGAACAGTTCGGACTGTGAACAAATTGGACAATGAACACTTTTGCTAAAGATTTTTTGTTTGGACAACAAACACATGTTTAGATAACAAATACAAGGAAAAGCAATGATGCGTTTAAGATTTGTAAAACTATATTTCACTGGCATCTATAAATGGTGTATTGAACGAGACTTTCAAAATTCTATACATAACTTTTTTTTTGCAATAGTTGATTTCCGTTCTCTGAATTTCTGTAAGTGCTTTTCTGAACTTTCTACTTAAAAATTCTGATATTATTATGGGGCCTAAAAAGAGTGGAGTGTCAAAAAACTGTGTTCACTATAGAAACTTAGCAAGAGATAATAGCTACGGTAGAGAGTGGGCAGAAGATATCTAATGTTGCTAAGCAGTATGGCTTCAACAGGTCTACAGTAGACATAATCTTAGCTAAGAGTCAAAAAGACTCAAACAGTTAAGGTAATGAAAATCACATCTGAGAAACAAAGATGTGCCATCAATGAAACAATTAAGAGATTGCTTTTACTTTGTTATTACATGCAAATAAATATGTTAAGAAATGATATAATTATTCATTTATTTTTTGGGGTCACCAGAACAAATTAATCAAATTCCCATAAAAATCTATGATAAATCGATAATCGGTTAACAAACGTTTTGGGTAGCAAACATTGTCTTTGAATGGATTATGTTTGTTAACCAATCTTCCACTGTATATCAAAGTAGGTGACACAATGAACAACAAAAGAGTGGCAAAGCAATGTGACTGGAATATTACTGTAACAAAAATGTGATATATCACAAATGTGACTATGTTAATCTATAATTAAATATATAATGTGCATATACTTGATAGCGAAAACAGGTTTAGTATATTTTAAATTTAATTTATAATCAGTTTTATGTCTTAATCCAAGTTGGTAAGCATCAATGCTCTCCTACAAACATTCCAGAAACTAATGTTCCAGAAGCTCTCTCTAACAATACATTAAATGAAGTTAAACCAGTGTATAAATATTCTGGATAAACCTGTATGTTGGGGAGACTGATTACCTCACGAGAGAGAAAGACCACTGCTGAATTAACTGTGTAATCCACCATAATTTCCACAATTTGTGGAATAATAATCACCTTCAAGAATGAATAATTTAAAGGCTTGGCACAGATGTTTAAAAATAGTAACTGAATGTTACCACTTGGGAGTATATTCAACAATAATGGATTTAAAAAATACCACTACCAAGATCAAAAAATAAAACAATTGGCTGCAGGACATAACTGATCAGAGAAGAAAAAGCAAATAAAAAGAAAAAAAAAAAAAAAAAAAAA